TCCCTCTGTTGCTGTGTCTGAGAAAACTGAATGGTGTAGGACATTTTCTTTACTGCTGGGAGTGACATCAATAGTTAAGCACTATTGTCACTACTGGAAGCAACATCTTTCGCGTTTTCTCACATCTCATTGTCGGAACTCATCACGGAGCTCGGACTGCAATGGGGTTAGAAGATATAGTTTCTCCTCTTACGCCCAGGAAGACTTTGTATTGGTTCCTTTATCCATGCAGTATCTACTACAAAAATTTGTTCTAGACTTCTTTTCCCTCCTTACCCATTTAAAACGATAGTAAACAGTAGACGCCAGGATCAGCTTTCACAGAAGGAACTGCTGCCTTTGCTACTCAGAAAGCTTTGAGCCAAGCGCCCTCAGCGTCTTGAGCTGCCTTCAGCTGCACAGCATTACTAGGTAAAGAGCACTCCGTTCCCGGGACAGCTGATATTCATGACTGATTGTGGCAGAAGTATTATCAAGCCTTAACAGTTCTACTTATCCCTCTGCCAATTTGGTTTTGTTTCTCCAGGAAAGGGACTAGAGTGAGCAACGATGGTGAATAAAAATATCAACATTTTAAATAAAGGCAGGATTAGGTGCTTCTTTTCCATAGGCATCAATGCTTAATAACTAACTTGCACAAAAATCTTTATTTAAAGCATCTGCTTTGGAGGAATTAACCAATACTTGGTTATTGGTACTTGGTGTGGTGTGGTAACACTGATTACCACAGTGCTGTGGTGTGGTGCCCCTGAATTATGTACGGCTTTATAAACAAACATCTCAATAAAACAAAATACTAAGTGCCAAGAAATTACTAAAGTCTAAAAAAAGAAAGAACTTAAACCAAACTCGAATTGGGTGACTGGGAAAGGTGGTGATAAATTGGGACTTGGGAAAGGAATCATTTAGCCCAGGTGGCATTGAGGGCCTTGTTATTAGTAAATGGTAATGGAGCACAGGCTTGCCTGTTATAAAGCACTCTTCAGTACTGAATTCACAGTCTACCACTTGGGGAGTGGATTACGCACTGACTGGTTTAAAGTATCAGATATTTGAGACATACTGGGAAAACTAACTATAAAGACAATGGGAATGGATGGCTTGCTAAGCTTATTACTACACCAGAAAAGGGTCATGAAAGCTGAGGGTTATTGAAGCATGAAAGCCAATACTTTCCGATATTTAAAAAACAAACAAACAAAACGATACTTTCCTGCACAGAAAATAAAAGGAAGTTAAGAACCAGGCATTTATGAAATGGTGAAACTCCAGATAAGGTTCAAAGCCCTATTAAGGCAGATTATTTGTGACAAGATCAGGATCTGGCTGGGAAAAAATGGGAGTCCTGACTCTTTGGAATCTAATATCTGGGTAGATGACTGAATATTTTGAACTCTCACTCTTTTTAAACATTGTTTTTTCCTGACTCTTTGGAATCTAATATCTGGGTAGATGACTCTGAATATTTTGAACTCTCACTCTTTTTAAACATTGTTTTTCTGGAAATACAAAAGTGGGTTGCTTTCTTTTTAAGGGTTAGCCTGGCCACCCCCCTTGCTTAAAGGCACTGTGGACATCATGTACCCTCCTTCACAATCAATCTTTAGCTTCTGGGTTATGACACAACATTTATCAGAGATATGCTGTTGCTAAAAAAGCCTTAAACCTAATGAAGCTACAAGCCTGAGTCAGTGTGCACTGGAGGTACAGAGGAAAACCTGTGGGTTTGAAATACGCGAGAACTTAATCAAGAGTTTATTGACTTGGAAACATTTTGTGATATTGGATTTAAAAGGTGAGGACACAGGGAATGCCTCATACTCATGACTGTGATAAATCCTACAGCAGTGTGCCAAGTTGAAACACCAAAATGCCACAGAGAAGAGTAGACTATGGCTTTTAAATCCATAGAAAATGGGATGCTAGAGTGACTATACTTGTAAGGCCAGAAACCCCAACACATTTTAATGTTCCTTTGGGAACAACTGAAACATATACCAATTAACAAAATCATAATGTGCTGGCATGGAACATCACTGTCACTAAAGTTTCAGTGGCGGCCTTCTATAACCCAGCACTGGTGGGATAAGAGGATGTTACTACTTGACTAAGAGCAATGGGGATTATTGGATCCAGATAAAGCCCAGGTATTAAGTACTTAATGTCAAGATACAGGTAGATGAAATTATTGTAGCAACCAGGAGATCTGACTCGTAAGGTAAAAGTGGTTAACCAAATGGAGTGTAAATTAGGAACAAAACAGATGAGTATCTAACAAAGGCATTCTATTCAGCTAGAACTGCCACAAGAAATGAAAGAGGCTCTTGTCACAATCCAGTGCCAAGTTGAATAAGCTGGAGGGAATTATGTCAAACAAAATCAGTCAACAGGACAAAGAAAAATACCAGTTAGTGTCACTTATATATGTCATATAGACAAACAAAACAAAGGAAAAGATAAAGCCAAACTAGGAACAAACCTTAGAAATCTGATTACAGAACTGAGGCTTCCACAAATGGAGGGATGAGAGAGGGGAGAATAATGCGGGAGGGGGCTCTATGGAGTATGGTGGTGGATTATACATGCTTTGATGGTGTATATGGTGTGGGAACAACACAGGAACGGGGAGATTCTGAATCTCGAAAATACAAGCAATGCCATAAGCCAAAAGTTACCTCAATTAAAAATAGTGTTAGATAAGCAATAGTTAAATAAAAAGGACAAATGCTAGTAAATGTCTTTAAAAAATAATACCCATCTTTCAATATTGATTATCTCAAGGAATTTGGCAATAGTTATATTACAGGTATTAATGTGGTATAACAGAGCATGCATTTTATTTTCATTTGCTATCTAAGAACATTCCTTTAAGAAATTAAGTGTAAAAGAAAACCACTATCAAGATTTTACTGTGAGTTTACTTGATTATTAATAAACATAAAAATACACGGTATAAAATAGTGATTCTGTTTCATTCATTCACATGTGGCAATCCAGTTTCTCAGCACCATGATTGAAGAAGCTGCCCTTGCTTCATTTTATGTTTATCTCTGTTGTCTTAAATTTATCATCCATATATTTGCAGGTTTATTTCTGAACTCTCTTCTGTCCTACTGGCCTGTGTGTCTGCCTTTCCCACAAATGCCATTCTATTTTGACGGCTATCACTTTTAGTTTGAAGTTGGGGACTATGATATTTCCTTTTTTTTTTTTGTTCCTTCGGGTTTTTTTGAATTGTTTCAGTTTTTTTTTTTTTTTAAGTTGCAAATAAGATATGATATTATGGCTCTATTTCTCTGAAGACTGTCATTGGTATTTTGATAGGGATTGCACTGAATCTGTATATTGCTTTAGGTAAAATGATCACATACAAAGGAATGAAACTAGACCACTACAATATACCATACACAAAAATGAACTCAAGTGGGCTAAAAACTTGATTGTAATACCTGAAACCATAAAGTACATAGAAGAAAACACCAATGCCAACCTCTTTGACATTAGCCTTAGTCATGTCTTTGTGTTTACAACTCAGTGGCTAAAGAAATAAAAGCAAAAGTAAAGATACGGTTTTATATCAAATTAAAGTTTCTGTACTTACTGGATCCCAATAAAGCCCAGTAAGTAAAGTATCTGGGAAGCCATTATTAAAATTACAGTCTAATGAATGGGAAAAGATACTTTAATATCATATATTTGATAAAGGGTTAATATAGAAATACATAAAGTGAATAAAACTCATTATAATAACCAATAACAACAAAAAACAAATGGGGAGAGGATTTGAAGAAATGCTTTTTCATAGTGGAATTACAGATGTCCAAGAGATGCATGACAAGATGTTCAGCATCCATTTTTATATAGCAAATAGAATTCAAAGCAATAAAATATTGCCTCATACTCATGAGAATGGCTGTGATCACAATAAATGCTGGAGAAGAAGCAAAGAAAAAAGAACCTCCATATACTTTGGGTGGAAATGTACATTGGTGCAGTCACCAGGGGAAAAAGTATGTACATTACTCCAAAAGTGAAGAGAAATAACCTATGATCCAGCTCTTCCACTGCTAGGTATTTAACAGATAGACAAACAACAGCAAGAACAACATACTAAATTAAAGACCTCTATATATCCCTTTATTCATTATGTCATTCAAAATAGCCAAGAGCTGGAAAGAACTTAAGTGTGTTAGATGGAGACAGAAGATTTGGCCTGTACACACACACACACACCATGGAATACCATTCAGCTATCATTAAGAAAATAAATGAAATACTACCATTTGCAACAATATGTATGAATTGAGAGTGCATTATGCTAAGTGAAATGAGTTAGACGGAGAAAGGCAAAACACCATATGATTTCACTCATAGATGGTAAACAAATGAATTAACAAAAAAGAAACAAACAGGTGACATGAAGAAATACACCGTTACCAAACAGGAAGATGGAAGTGGGGTGGGTAAACTGTATAAAGGGGTCAAATGTAGAGTGATCAGTTTTTGGTGATGAGCATAGTATATAGAGACGTTGATATAAAAGTCTGTACACGTGAAACTTATATAATTTTATAAGTTTACCAATGTTAAGTAAAAAATCAATAAAAGTGAAATGTAAAAAAACCACACAGCTGTCTGAATAGAATCCCTGCATGATATATTTTATTAATTAGAATATGTGAAAACACTGTCTTAAAAGCAAGGATAATATATTTCTTTAATTTCAAGTTTTTTAATCATGTAAAATCAGATACAAAAGTTCTACAATTATTCATAATTCATAACAATTTGAATACTCTCATCAAAACACCTAGAGCTTTAAGTCTTATAAGGGGTGGGGTCATCTCCTTTAAGTTTAGTTGTTCACAGACAAGGAGGCAAAATGACAACAGTGAATTCTATATACATTTGTCAAGTGTATAATGGAGTTTCCATGTTCTATAAATAAAACATTTTTGTGCTCAAGTCAAAGGTTTTCTGATGCTAGCCTGAAGACATGTTCATAACTGAACTCCTTCCAATATTAAAGCTATCTCCGTAGTTTTTGTATTTAAAGGGTGAGCTACCGGCCTTCTTGACTGATGACACTTTTGTCTAACTTTCCCCATATAATTATTATACTTTTTAGCCAAACTAAGATTTGTAGTACTCCAATTGACAATGCGATTTGAATCTTCTGAAAGTAATGTATTTGTTCGCCGAATGTGTTTTACTTTAGTATCAAGGTTGTTCTTCAGTTTGCTATTGCTTTTACAGTTCTTGTCCATCTTATGACTTTTTTTATCAGAATGGATACCTGAACTTTCCATTCCAGTGGGACATGTAATATTCTTGTGAGCAATAGAAGGAAGGCATATTTGAGATGAAATTTTTCCATAGGATCTAGTGGGCAAGTCTTGAAGATACCTGGGAAAATGTTGGCTTATTTTATACTCATAGATTAATTTTCTTGAATTTGAATCCTCTAATTTGATAGAATTTGGTTCATCTACTTTTATACTTTGATAGACTTCTGTTGGACTCTGAGATATATTCAATTTTTCAGAATTATAGTGAGGTAGGCGAGGTAAAATTCCATGTCTATTCTGTTTTAAAACTAACCTAGTTCCAGGAATAAATAGTTCTGATTCTTCTTCATTTGACAGATGAGTGATATCTGTACTTGAAACAGGTGGATGTGAATGTCCATTCACTGCTGAATTGTTCCAGATTAAAGGATTAAATATAACTTGTCCATCAATAGGGCACGAATTGCATTTGTGGAATAACCAAGAGTCAATACATTTCCTATGAAACTTTAAAGAGAAGACTGTAAATTAATCAGAGATACAATCACTTTGTTTTTAATATATATTTTCTATGTAAATTTTCATTATTGTGTAACTATTAAAGTTATTTAGCAAAAATGGAAGGCAGTAGTAATTTGCAAAGTTTTATGGAAATAACTTTTGCAGAGGTTCATCTGATAATGCCTTGCTTCTGAAATGATTTCGATCTGCAAAGTTAAAATGAAATCTTCTATGAATATCACTTTTGTCATTTGTTAAAAATGTACTACTTATTCAAGCCATTAATTTCAGAGCTTTCTGATGAATGAATATTAAGTAATTTAAAAAAGTAATAACCAACTAGAATTGAAAATGGATTTGACGATTGTAGCATATAAAATAACAAATGACATTCTTGGGAAGAAAATAAATTATTAGATATTTTAAGTGTGATTCACTCTATACATTATCTTTATTGAAATTATTCTCCTTCAGAAAAAACCTAGTCACCAACAATAGAGTGATCAGTAACATTAGGCTTTGATTCCAGTGAGGTTATTTGAAATAATCAATTTTGTCAAATTATGCCATTTTGTTTCATCAAAAGAATCACAAAAGTACATTAAAAGTTAGCATTCTGTAAGCTTTTCCTTTTTATAGGCAACTGACATAGATAAAAGAATGTTAAGTTACACTGCCATTTTATCTGTCCTAAACAGAACTTCAGAAAGGAGCCCTAGCCGTGGGAGTCCGCCATAGGGCGGCAGAGCTACTTTCTCAACAGTCTTTGCAGTAGCTTTTCTAGTTCTACAGTCCAATCTGAACATCTCTGCACAGACTACAACCAAAAATGAAAGGACAGACTTAAATTATTACTTCATTTGTGAAATCGGGACTGTCAGTGAAAATCAAAGTAAAGTGATATGATTTCTACCTTGTGAGCACACGGTAGCAACCGTATATTTTGGCCAAGACGAAATGCCTTCAAACAAAGTCGACACTGGTATCCAGGAGCAAGCAGCTTACTGTTCTTTGTGACCAACAGAAGAGGCAGTGATTTTACCACATGTTTTGGTGTGTAGACCTGACTGAATGAAAATAAGCAGAGACATGAACGTGCACATGTGACTTTAGAAGAGGAAGCAATCAATGACACAGGTAAAAACCTCCATATAAATAATACAAATGATTATTATACAAACTGTATTGTTTTTTGAACTGAAACTTCATTCATTATAAAGTGAAACAAAATGAATAGTATCAATACTGAACAAGATGGATTCAACTTCATCAATTTCAAGTTTTTAATATCACAAGTCATACAAGAGCTGAGAATCTCACCCTTGCTTTTCTTTAATATGTGGTATCTTTTCTTCTATCTCTTTTTGAATACGTATATAGTTTATATCATCGTCTGATCTTTTTTCTAATGATTTCCATTTTTTATTTCTCTTCTGTAATTGGCAAAAAGTAGATGTTATTTTGTAAATTATGAAAATTTTTATTTTGTGAATTAGCATTAGTAAGCTTCACATTAATAACAATAAAATGCACAAAAAGACATTTTAAATCTATTTTACATTTAAATTATAATAGTAGTGAGTTAATTAACAGTTACACAACTACCATAATAACTCCACTTTTTAAAATATTAAAAATGGTAATTATGAATGTCTGTCTGATGTAGTGTAAACAAAAGGTAGTATCATTCAGCACCAGGAGATATTTAATTTTTAAGTGTACCCTTCAAATGACTTCAATGAAATTCCAGGAATTTCATTATTGTTGACATATAAAATTTAAGGCCATAAGTGTTAATATAAGTCAGTTTGTATTGTTGATATAGTTTTTAAAATTCAAATTTCAAGTTTGATGGCAATTCCTATCTATATGATGGCTGTACAATATCATCAGATTTCTGTTGTGATGGATTTTATACATTTCCAGTTTGAGAACTGGTTATTTTGTACTTCTCTATCAAAAGATTTTTCATAAAAATATAGCCTAAGGTTTTTATTAAAAACTAATTGGCAATAAAAATTAATACAATAATACAAATGGTTATTATACAAACGGTATAGTTTTTTTGAACTGAAATTTCATTTATTATAAGATGAAACAAAATCAATAGTATCAATACAATATAATAAACAAGACAAATGAACCAACTCTACACAAGGGATTATGCTGATGGTTCACAGGTGATATAGTGATGGGAGAACAGAAGGGATTAATCAAATATTGTATAAAAGTGAGCAATGATGCAAAAAAAAATAACAACTAATCAGCTCTATTTCAGAATGTTATCCATTCTTATTATTCTTTGGTTTGTTTTATTTAAATTTGCAACAGGCCAAATATAAACATCATATGAAATTCAGGATGTATACTGTACCTCACGAAAAGTAAATGAATGAGAAACATGGCAGCTGCTTTCAAAACATTCCTGACATAAGTGATATTCTATACATTCAGTACACCTATAAAAAAACAAAACACCAACACATACTAAAATTTTGATGATTTTGGTGAAGAATTCTGGCTAAAATTTCCTGGGAACTATGTAAATATAACCAAGTCTAGCTCAACTTTCAGCTGGCATTAGCTTCCCCCTATTGCCACTGTGACAAACTATAACATATCTAGCGGTTTAACACACATCTAATACCTTAGAGATTTGTAGGACAGAAGTTTGACATGGGTTAAACTCAAGGGGTTTACAGGGTTGCAGTTCTTATTGGAAGCTCCAGAGGAGGTCCCTCTTCTTTCCCTTACCAGCTTGTAGAGGCTGTTCATACTCTTTATCTTAGTTTATAAGCCTTTCCTCCATGTTCAAAGCAGTTATTGCAACATTCTCTGTGCCTTTCTTCCTTAGTCACATTTCCCTCTGACACTACACTTCTTTACCTCGCTCTTCCAGTTTATTCCTCTTCCCCTTTTAAGAATAGATCTGAGTACACTGAGACTATAGAATAGAGAACAATCTCTCTATATTAAGCTCAGATGATTAGCAACCTTACTCCACCTGCAATCTTAATTCCCTATTACAGGTAACCTATTACACAGATTCCAGGTGTAAGGATGTGGACATACTTGGGAGGACCTGTCACATCCCTTCCTTTATGTCTTCCTGAAATGCATTAGCTTTTATTTATCTTTCTTGGCCTACTGGATATTACAGTATTTGATTACCTAGTGTTTTACATTTGTTTCATGAAGGCAAGGGCTCTATTTAGCAGAAAACAGAAATTGTCTTATACTCACTCTCCTTAAGTGTAAAAAAGGCAGATTCATAACAACTTTCCAAAATAGTCTACTGATTAAGTTTAAAAATCACTTCCCACAAAAGTTTATCTCAAATTACATCATTTATAAAGTCTGCCACAGTAGAGAATTTTGATTTACCTGCAGTAATACTCACTGAATAAAAAACAGTAACCACCAAACTTATTGTCTTATTCAAGTTATCAAAGATTTAGAAGACATTTTTTCAGGAGAAATTTGGGAAACCATGTTCTTCAAACATCTTAAAACAGCAAGTGCTCATTGATTCATTTTACTTATACAGAGATGATGAATAATAATTCCTATCAATCACTCAATAAGAGTAATGGTGCAGTTAGTTTTATATATCAATATATTCTGGACTAAACAAAGTTGAGTATCTCCATACTTTAATAAATATATGTGATATTTGGAATTCATTAAAAAGTAAGCAACCATATTGTGAAACTCAAAAAGAAACTGTAAAGCTTTCTAGTTTATCTAATTTGTCTTCTATGCAATCATTTTTAAAACTACTGGAAACAGTGCTCCCTGTTAGTGATTCAGGGGACTGGCTGGAGTGAGATGTCACAAAGATTGGAAAATATTCTTTAATTTGTAAAGTAGGATTGACATAGTGGTATAGATTAAATAATTATGGTATCGATTACTTAGATACACAGGTAACTGTTTAATAATTGGGAGTCAAACCCACAGGAAAAGTTATTCTTAAAGGAGAGTACAGGACAATGCTAAGGTGGCAGAACAAAGGAAAAAGCTTGTGTTGAGTGAGGGTATAGGAAAAATCACCCATGAGGACAGGTGAAGATGGAAGCTGAGAAAGAGGAGAGCACTGCCATTAACAAAACACTTGAAAGCAAGATGTGAAATAACCTACCAAAGCCATATGTAGCCATTTGAGGAATATTTGACTACTCAAACTAAGAGTTTTATACTGTGGCTCTGGCATATCTTTGTCCTCTATACCTCTTCTTCCCAACTTAGCTTCTTATTGTCCTTATCTCTTTTGAAAAGATTTTTATCACCAAATAATAAGTTGGCTGCTAATACAGATGATCAAGTCTTCTTTTTCTAGAACTTTTTTGACCAACATTCTCAAAACTAGTTGAATACCTTAAGCTAAGCCTCTTTAAAAATTCTGCCCATCTTCCTCAAGTTAAAATGCTTATAAGGAGTCTTTTTAGATCATCCATTTTCCAATGAAATCTTCTGCTAATGGTGTACCTGTTGACTTTCTTCTATGAAGAACTAAAACAGATACTGTTGGGGTGTTTTATAAAATCCTTTATAAAAAGGATTTTAAAATGTATTTATTGGGCTCATCATAATGTTAGTCTAAGAAGACTGAACAGTAAATGGATGAATTAAAAAATTAAAGACTGTGTCAAAATATTTTCCTTAAATATTTCATCGATCTAAATGTTTTAAGAAAATTTTCCCAAGCATAGCAATTAAATTATATTTTATCGTGGCAGTTGGAAGAAAGATTGAGACTTAAAATAAAATTGTTGTTAAGATATAAGAAAGGAAACAAAACACCTACTCATTGTAGTGTGGAGTAGGGAAACACAAATATTTAGTCAATTTAGACAGTATCCCTCTAGCACAATGCTAGGAGCTTATGGCAATGATTTCACTGGTGGTTCAAAAAATATTACAGGAGTGACAGGGCTTGGAGTGTAGAAACTTCTCCTGGCCAACCCAACCAAAGCAACAAGATTGTGTCCAGAAAGTCCAGGATAGGATGCTACTTAGAACCTCCATCTAGCCGGAAGTGCAAAGCCAATGCCTTTGTGTAAGAAAGAAAATAAAACAACTGGACATCATGAGGTCCTGGAGTGACCTAGATCACCATCATGGAAACCCTAAATAAGCAATGGTCACCTAAGGTAAACACAGTATACACCAGAGAGGAAAGCAGGCGAAATACCCAACTCCATAATGCTAATACACACACACACACACACACACACACACACACATATATTTATAATTTTACTGATGACACTTACTTATAACACTTCCCCTCAATTGGAAATCGTTTACAGTTATTACAAGGAATTCCAAGGTGTCTGTCTAGTCGCTCTTTCTCGGCTGTAGTCATAAGTTTGTTAGAATTTTTGAATTCCTCTAAAATTAGTTTTAATGGTGCAAAATCTTTCCTACATAGAGGACATTTTAACATTGATTTGTTCGATATCATGTCTTGATAATTCATTAAGATCTGCATACATTTTATATGAACACTATTGCCACAGCCAAACCTGTTGAAGATAAAATACATATTTATTATTTATATGCAACAAAGTTGTATAAATTCATATAAATAAAATTTTTTGTGCTACCATCTTGATTGTCCATAAAATTGACTCTGAACTGATTTTCCAGATATAGTATGATTAACATAAATAGTTTGACCTTGATCTATCAAAATTCCAAACTCTTTCCTATCTCAATAAAATGATGGTAAATGATGATTTCCATCATTAACATAATTTTCATTTTTAAAGGTGATAGTATTGTTGTGACAAAAAGAAAATTTTAACAATAACTATGTTAAAAAATACATCACTGAGGAAAGCGATGTCACCTTATTTTCCTAGAAACCACACAATATGTGAGAGTTAAAAAATATGTGCTGAAATAAATAGTAATGTTGGAAAGAGTGAATTTAATATATTAAACAGAAGCAGTCACATGAAAAACTATGATGATAATGGAAATTTTGGTACATCATCAGGAGAAAAAAGACTAAAAATGTTCAATAGCAAATGGTCACATTTTCCAAGTATAACTTGATTGTGCTTTTAAGGATAATATGATTATCACACTTTTTTTTTTAAAGATTTTTTATTTATTCATACAGAACTGGGGTACAGGCCAGAGATGCGGAGGGTGAGAGGATTCACTAGAGAGAGAGTGGGGAGCAGAACAGGCAGATCGACGAAGTACACTGCTGAGGGGAGCAGCGGGCGAGTCAGGAAAGGTCTGCCACGCCATGTGGATCTCCTCCGGGGCAGATGGGGATCGAACTCATGCGGAAGTGGCTTTAGCATCTTAGTGCTGTGCTTTTACCCGCTGCGCCACCAGGGAGGGCCAATTATCACACTTTTAATAGACACTATGTATAGGCAAAATTTTAAATTATTTAGATTTAAAGATAGAATTTTTAAAAACTGAGAAAAACTTTTAAAATTTTAAAGTAAGAAACTTCTTTTACTTTTGAAATATAAAATTATTCTCAGGAAATTCTTTGTAACTACTCTAAACCATCCATTTATTTACGTGTAAAAAACGTGAAAATTATTACTTTAATAACTAATTATTATTTTAATAACTAAAGCTAGAAAAGGGGATAAAGTGGAGTGACATTTAAAATTTCACTCTTTAGGCCCTCCCTGGTGGCACAGCAGGTTAAAGCACAACACTGAGAAGCTAAAGCCACTTCCGCATGTGTTCTATCCTGGCCTGTCCTGGAGGTGACTACATGGTGCGCAGACCTCTCCTGACCTTGCTGCTCTTCTCAGCAGTGTACTTCGCCCATCTGCCTGTTCTGCTCCCCACTCTGTCTCTGGTGAATCCTCTCACCGCCTCTGGCCTGTACCCCAGTTCTGTATGCATAAATAAATAAATCTTAAAAAAAATTTCCCTCTTTATAACAGATCCCAGAAGCATTTAGAATAAGAACATAACCCCACAGAAATGCTTACAATATTCAAGTTAAAAAGTGGCCAATTATAAATAAACTGTAGGTAAAGGTGTCTCTTGTTTCTCTAGCAACATGTCTCATAAAAATCAATTATAAACAATGGTTATTTTTTCTTAAATTTTGAAGATTCACAGAAAAAAATCTGTCACCTGCAAAAAGTGACAGGAAGTTTTTTCTCTAAAAGTACTTCCTGACAGATAGGGCAGATGTCCTCTGAACCAATTTCCTTCTGCTTAATATACCCGTCTTCTTCAGTATGCACAGTTTCATCTTTTATTCCATGTTGGGGTGTTTGTACTCGATGTATCCCCCGAAGTAAGTCATTGATTTCTCCTTCCACGAGACCTAACTGTAAAGCAGCTAGTGAAAAACCCCAAAGTGTTAGCACTCAGTGGCAAAACTGGGGATACAGAAATGTAACTCATGCTGCAATTTAGGCGCCTCAACATTAGAAAGATGATTTTGATTGACACTACTTTTTGGTATGTTTTTCAGAGCCAAAAATTCAGGAAAAAAATTGAATTTTTTTTTTTATCTTATTACTGAAAAGGGTCAGTGCAAATAATGCATTATAAGGATTTTAGATTTAATTATATGGTACATTCATCCTTGGATTAGTGTTATATTCAACATTTTTATTGGTTCACTGTTTCATAAGAATTTTATCAATGTGCAAGTATATTAACGGAAATGGGTGCAAATACACAAAGGGGAAACAGAGATTTGTGAGTAGTTTTTATAATTAATATTTGTTAACAGAAAAGGTGAATGAATGGATAATCAAGAGTAAGACTCAATTGTGCCCACTTTTCTGTCTCAACTTTATGTTTTCACATGAGCAGCTTGGTAGCCTAATTACTGTCTCCACAGATTTGGTCAGTATTCCTCAGGACAAGCTATTCAGAAATACATTATCTATACTCTTGGAATGTGTATTTTTTGAATTTTGAATTTTCTGTATTCTGCTATCTTTATAAGAAGCTGTGTTTTAAGTATATATAATTTTGATCATGCCATTCTAAATTCTTCATTTCCTGGTCTATGCTACTTTCCCTGTCTCTCCACTTAACATGCCATAGTTTAAGTGCCAGCTGGTATTGGTCCTTCTGAATTCTGTTCACCGTATACATTATTTAATGTAAAGAGATTAAGAAGTATTTGCAAGGAACGCTCCATCTTTTTGGAATGACTACCAAATAAACACTAAAGTACTGAAAACACCATCTTTAGATTTCAATAAATATCTCTTTTCCCTTACATTGGAAGATGAGAGATTTTTAGAGATATAGCAATATCTGCTCTCAAAAAATGGGGACAACAATGAAGAAGAAAGGATTGTACTTTGGGGAATAAATAGTTTCTATGGCAGCTGAAATGATAATTTATAAGAGGAGCTGGTCATAAACTGTTCTATTAGTATAACATGAATTGGTAAATAAAACAAAAGAAACAAATCTTATAAAGTTAATTTGAGTGTAAAATGTATGTGGCAATGAAAAAATATTCTTTTATGGAGAAGAGAAAGGCAGCTAGTATCAGGTTGACAATATACTATAGCAAACCTGTATAAAACCCCCAAATATTATAAAAAACAATATATAAAAACTCATCAAATAATCATTGCAAAACAAGAATAAAAATTAGCATTATTCAGTAAGTGCTACTGAGATAACTTGGTGGGAATATGGATAAAATTTAATTCACACCAAACTCCATTTTCCAAACTATACCAGAACAACTACACATGGGTGCCCTAACGAAGAGTATGAATAAAATTTTAAAAAGAGTAGCAGTAAAATCTCTAAAAGAGTATCCATTAATACTATGGAAGAAATACAACTTCTAAAAAGATGGAAACAATTTATTTTATTATTTTTTTTAGGTTATCATACTTCTCCAAAGACTGACTTAACTTTATTTCTTATACCTTGTTATAAGAAATGGATACACATTCATTTTTAACATTTAGGAAGATAATAGTTATAAAGATCTTTCCTTAGATTGTCCATGAGTCTCTCCTTTCCCCTTAATAATACAAAATATAGTAAACTGGCCCTCCCTGGTGGCGCAGCGGGTTAAAGCACAGCACTGAGAATCTGAAGCCACTTCCGTATGAGTTCGATTCCCGCCTGCCGCCTGCCCCGGAGGAGACCACATGGCGAGCCAGACCTCTCCTGACCCGCCCGCTGCTCCCCTCAGCAGTGTACTTCGTCGATCTGCCTGTTCTGCTCCCCACTCTGTTTCTGGTGAAGCCTCTCACCGCCCCTGAGCCTCTGGCCTGTACCCCAGTTCTGTATGAATAAATAAATAAATCTTAAAAAAAAAATATATAAACAAGATGGAGGACACACTGAAAGAGGGAAGTTATCCTCCAGAACTAGCAGCCCCAGAATAATGTTGAAAAAAGGAATAGAAATTCCCATTTGTATTGCTTCTACTGTTTTCTGCCATTCCTATTTTAAATTAAAATTTAAAAAAATTTTATTGTTTATTACACCATCCTTCATTTTTGTACAATGTATGGCTTCCCATGAAATTCCTACCACCAATTCCCCTTGCACCATCACCTAGTCCCCCTTGTGCTCTTCATACTTCTATCCTGATCCATCGCCCTCCTCCTCCCCTACAGAATGTCTCTGAACTGTAGTTGCCTAATGATTTTGATTTTTAAGGATTGAAAGAATTTACATGAAAGGACAAAATGATAGATTTAAGAAAAAACTGTATACGTAACAAGTTATATACATATATATGCAGAATTATAACAGTAGGAAAACATTTGCAAAGAGGGACAATACTTATATTTATGAAATCTGTAGTTATATTCCAGTAAATAAATAGCAAAATACAACTCACTCATGAAATATAAACAGCAAACAAAGCAAAGGAAGATGTTCAATTTCATTAACATTACATCAAAAATAAATAAAATATGTTGTGTTTGCTTTATGTTATTATTTTTTAAGTTATCTGAAGGCATTTTAGTTCTTTCAAAGGTCTGTTAGATGTACAGGAGAATGCAAACAATTTCCTTATGTAATTTGTCAGGAATGCAGAACACAACAAACTTTGTAGATGGCCATTTTTTCCTGCTTTGTGTGACTTAGTTCTACCCTTCCCCTACGATTGTAGGAATATTAGCATTTCAAAATATTTCTGTGTATCTTTAATTACTTTCTTTGAGGAAAATATGGTATTACTATCTCTCACTATATACTTCAGATAATATTGTTAAGTATTGAAGAAACAAATGAAACTAGCAGAAAGTGACAGATTGATGAAATTAGCAAAAGTACGATAAAGACCAGTTTGGATGTCAGATATAAAATATGAATACTTTACATTAAGGTGACATTTATGAACCACTGTATTTAGTATTTAGAAGAAACTACTTGGTGCAAATTCTGTTTTGCTGGAAAACTCTGTTATGTAATAGGAGAAGTAAAGCTCAGTATTCAAAAACTGCTATTGTTATAATAAAATTCCTGAGTAATCATCTCTGTAGTCTTCAAAAATAACCTTAGGTTTCTGATATGCAACTCTAGAAGGCAAGTGATTTTTTTCTAGATTGGCTTTAGAAAGGACATTGGTCTTTGAAAGGAGTTCAAAACCCTCCTCTCCTCCACACTTAGGTACATATCATATACAAACCTAATGAACAACTTTATGGTTTTCTTTGAATCACTTTAATTTTTATGTATATTTATTCCAGTTTTCATATAAATGGTCAATTTTAAGGTCATTCAGACTTTTACTTTCTTTGAATATTTCTGCATATAGAACTTTCCTAATGTTGAGTAATTTTTCAAGTATAGGAATATGAAAATTTTAATTAAAAATTATAGTAAGATACATTTCAAAGCTAATACATAGGATTAATTGCTAAAATAAAAAAGTTTTCTAGACTGATATTTATGAAATAAATAGGCTTTGATTCTGTATTCAATTAATATAAAGGCTAATACAACATAAATTAGATTGATCCATATGAAAGTGCTATTTTTGTAGATGAAAAATACAACTATTAGCAACTTATCTGATTCAATTAGAAAGAACCCAGCTGGCTATTTCTAATAGTCAGTATATTAAGTTTTTGTTGAATTTAATGGAATAGAGCTATGCTCTTCAATAGAGTACCCATTAGTTACTTATGGCTATTGAGCACTTGACATGTAGATTGTGACTGAAAACTGAATTTTAAATTTTATTTCACCTAAATTTAAATTGAAACTGAAAATCTGTAGTTATTGTAAAATTTTTAAATGTTTGTAACAATTTGGGTATGATAAAATCTATTTTTCAATTGAATGCATTATAAAATCATTTCTTTGTATTATGAGCATTGATAAATTTTAAACATGCTTATGCAGTACTTAGATGGGTCTATTATATATCAAAGAACCCCTTGATCGCACAGACCACATTTACTCTGAGTATAAATTTAAAGTCTACATCTAAATTACCTACAATAAAATTATTTCCTCATCTCTTTTATTTTTGTGGGCTCTAGAAGTTATACAATTATATGCCAGACTCTAAACAAATTAAGTACTGACATAAAAATCATCTCTCTCTCTCTCTCTCTACCTATTTTTGCAAGAAAATTTCAGTCAAATATTTTTGAGTAATTATGTGTCCTATAAACTAATTCTGGGACCTAAATGATTACATTTGCTGTTTTCCTTATAATTGAAATTAATGTTAGATACAGAAACCACTGAGAATCTTCATTTATAACACAAGAGGGATGTGTTTTCCTAATAAATAACTGGTCCTTGGTTTCACTTTTTTAAATTAAATGCCTCTGAATTTGAAAGTGGCCTATAAAGTTACATTTTTGTTAAACTGAACAAAAATTATTCCAGTTGTCTTGTGTATAAATAAATTCACCAATGAATAATTGTCAGATTGTCTAATTTAAATTTAGGCTATGTCTAAGAAAAAAATACTAAATCTTTTACCTTCAAATTAATAAAAAGAAAACTTACATTCATGATTCCTTGGAAGCTTGAATTTTTTCAACAAGATCCTATTATTCACAAAAAAACAAAACGCACACTTATTTCTGATACAATCTCAAACAATATAATATTAATTTTAGACTGGGGTGGCATTATGGAATTGATATTGCTGGAAATATTATGAACAATTTTAAAATTCTCATCAGTTTTCTATTGTGGTAGCTAGCTAACTTACATTTTGAAATAAGCATGTGAAAAGTGGTAAATGGAGAGGGAAGACATTTGTAGTAAAGAGATTTGCCAAAGAGAAACAAGGATATTTCAGTGAGACATTAAAGAAGGAATATAGGTATTGACAGCTTTTCTTCTAAACTTCCCCAGAAGTCTATGCTCCTGGTAATGCACTATTTTTCTAGATAAAGGACCAAAGGATGGCTTTTCTATAAATATACCACTTCAATGTATGATAGAAAAAAATTTTTTTAAATACCACCAATTAAAACACAATGACTTTAAAAATGGGTGTATATATATATATACTAGATTTTTACTTTAATATCACCATTAAGTTTAATATGTTAATATTAAGTTTAATATGTTAAATATATATTGGTATATTTAGCATATTAAATTTCTTCAATTTAGTACTTAATTTTATTTCTACTTTGATGCTTTATACAGTATAAATATGAGGAATTATACTACATAAAAATTAGGACAGAAGGAAAGCACTGCTTGAGGAAGCTGATATAAACCAAAATGGGAAAACCTATTTAATGTGTAACAATAAAATTACATTGCAAATTTTGGAAGGGCTGTATTTATCTGTAATTATGAAAAATAACTTATGCTAACATACTCAACAAAAACTAATCAAAACAAAAAACTTAATAAAATCTCTAGAAAAAAAATACATATTACCATGAAAAATATTTAAAATGATTTACTTATTTATGCCTAGGAGAAATGGGGTATAAGCCAGAGTATGGGGGTAAGAGGATTCACTAGAGACAGAGCTGAGAGCAGAACAGGCAGAGCTACTGAAATACACTGCTGAGGGGAAGTAGCAGGCCAGACAGGACAAAGCTTTTTGAGTTGCATTTGGGTTTGCTCCCTGTGGGGAAGGAGCTCAGGCTGTAACCTGGTGATAGTGCTGAGTCTTAACTCTTACATCACCATGGAGGCCCAAAATAAATAATATTTTTAAAGCAAAGCACTAGAATTATGAGACTCTCTTCTCAAATTACTTTTTATTTTTTCCCTTTAAATATCAATTGCAAATTTTCTATAACATCAATAATGATTTGTTGATATAAACAGAGGTAGATGAAGTGAACTTAAACTAAAGGGAAATAATTTTTGTTTTTCATTTTTGGGGATTATCCTTACAATACAGGTTCTGCCATAAATAAGAAGAAAAATTTTAGATTTGACAATAGTAATCTTCAATATAGTTACATTTCCCTCTTGAAAGAGTCACAGTCAAAAACCTTAAAAAGGTTTTTTTTTACTTAAGATATTGTATTTATAATAAGAACATAAAATTAAAAATTTTTCTTATTAAAAAATTCATCCTCAAAACATATAAGGGTGGTAGCATATTGTAGGTCAACTTAAACCTTAACTTTTGGAATGAAATGAAATACCTACAGCTATTTTAATAAGTTATGACTATTTTACCTTAATATTCTCCTATTACCAATTTCTTTAATCTTGCAGCATTCAAACTATGAAAAAGGTAAAACATGTAAAATACAAAGATGTTTATGGAAGGTCTTCATTACAATGCCACTTACCAACATATATGCTTACAAAGCTTCTCTTCTTTCAAAAATGTGGAGCAGTTACAAACATGAGGATTTCCTAGAAAAACCTTTAAAGGAAAAATGTGCATACTTAACAACAACAAAAACTCCAGTGAAGAATAATTAAGTTAATGAATAATCTGATTAAATAAGGTTTTAAGAGGTAATTTACTTTAGAGGACTTCAAAAGTCTGAACTTAATCTATTGGGTCATCTTAACTTAAAACAATTTTTTAAAAAGATTTATTTAGTTATTTACTCTTACAGAACTGGGGTACAGGTCAGAGGTGTGGTGGGTGAGAGAGTTCACCAGAGACAGAGTGGAGAGCAGAACAAGCAGAATGACAAAGTACACTGCTCAGGATAGCAGTGGGTGGGTCAGAAGAGGTCTGCCAAGCCATGTGGGTCAACTTCCTGGCTTGACCAAACTAACTTCCGAGAGCTTCATAATGCAGTGCTTTAACCGTTGCATCACCAGGAAAGTGCCTGGGACATCTATCTCAACTTTTGACAGTAACCTTAGTCACTTTCACATGGTTTGCCTTGGTCAATAATTTGCATTATCAGTTAAGACTTTTTTAAGGGACCTACACTCAAGGCAGGTGAAATCTTATCTATCCATCCATATTGTTTTGAGGTATACTTGACATACCTTAGTTTCACATGTACACCTAAATGATTCGCAATTTGTACGTTGTTAAATTGATCACCACAGTAAGTGAATATTCATCATCACAGATATTTTTTTCTTTACCAATAGCTCTTAAGATATACCTTCTTAATATCTTTCAAATATACAAAGCAATATTATTAACTACAGCCACCAAGCTATATTATACATCCCATGACCTAAGGAAATCCAATTTTTAAAGCTTAAAATTGGTGTAAATTTCTTTCTGAAAGGAAATTCTGCCTTCAAGTGGCTCTGAAAACCTTCTATGAGGTAGTTCATTCGTTGACTTTTTGTTTTATAAATTCGAATTGGCGAGTTTAATTTTATTTAGTAAGGGTAATTTTATTCATCAAAGTTATGTTGGCTAAAACAATTTATTAAATTGAATACTGTAATGAAGTAAAAAAAATAATATTTTAAGTAAGCTAAGGCTACAAATAAAATCCAGTAATTGAAGTGTATAAATACTACGTTAAAATTTTCCAGGTCAGCTTCTGGGAGGTACTAAGGTGAAACTAATGGCTGATTTTTGAGTGCTGACACCGGGGTATGCAAATATGAAATATCTATGGTCTTTAAGCAAAAATTTTAAAAAGAGGCATTTCTTTCTAAGATATAGGCATTTAAAAGTCCTGTTACAGCTTGAGTGATTAAGTAGTAAAGAAAAAACAATTTGTTTTATCTAGTTTGAAAACATTGCATTTTCATTTAAATTACAATTAGTGATAATGTCAGCTCCAGGAACTCACTAACAGCCAACCATATATTCATATAAAAATTTCACTTTTTAAAGTTCAGATTAGTGGCTGTCCTCTTACAATAGTGCTAAACTCCAACAATGAAACTCCCTCCCCCCATTTTTTTTTTCCTTTGCAAGCTGCACATCTTTGGAGTCATGGGTGAGGTGCGTCAACCAGAGTACGCAATGATTATGAAGGTGGCCACACCCAGGGTAGACCAAGGAGCGCAAAGCGAGGCGAGTTTGGGGCAGTAGTTACTCGGAAATCCCTGTTCTCCGGCTCCTCCTCCCTCAGCAGGAAACCGGTGGGGCCGATCTCTCGCAGAAGGTAAATGTTACTGCTCAGCGCCTGGTCTTGCTGCCAGCTGAGTTGGTCGCTTAAGTGTCTTCGCCTTTCAGAGGCTTTACAGCCTCCACGAAGCATCTTGTCGCGTTGCGAGAGGAGACGGCAGTTCTGCGAAGCTCTCTGAAGCGTCCACCGGTCTCCATAACAACCGCGTGGAAGCCGGTTACCTAGGCGACGGTGGTTGAGCTTCTGTGTATCCCCGCGTGCCTTGCGCCAAGCTAGCGCTGGCGACCCAGGTGCTGGCGGGTGTTGATTCCGCAGCCTTCTTTCCTTGAAGCGACGCTCTTTACTGAGGAGTGTTTCTAATAACCACGGACTAAAAAGTGGCGTGAAAAGGCATAGCAGTCAAAAGCATCCCATTCCTTTTCCTAGCTCCTCGCAGAGCTCCAGAATTCTGTCTGCTTAGGACAATTACACGACCTGGTTATTGTGCTTTGGATGTGAAATAGTCCTGCAATGATTCATCATCTTTATCAGAAAACCCTGTGGACATTCAACAATTTCCCACAAATATTTCCCAGTTGCTCACTATATGAGTAGCTGGGGAAAGATCAAGATGTAGAAGTCAGGCGGTCTAAGCCTTAGGAAACTAGATCCTGTGTGTGTGTGTGTGTGTGTGTGTGTGTGTGTGTGTGTGTGTGTAGGGGTGGCGGGGTAGTGAGGCAGAAAGGGGTGGGGTGGGGAGGGGACAGGGAGGGAAGGGTTAGTCTTAAAGCAAGGAGAGTATCTTAAATTTTGTGTAGGGATGACATGTTGTGGGGATGTGCAATCTACTGACTCTTGCTCTCTAAATTTACCTCTATTATAAGGAATAAGAGTTTCAAGATATGCAAGTTACCTCCAATAATTCAAGTTGTGTATGAGCTTTGTTGCCATGTTTCAGAGGAAAAGCTTTAATAAGGTATGAATCAAATAAAGAATTGCTGGTATCTCTTCTAAAAAACTGACATCAGGAAATGGTGGTCCAGTAACATAAACAAAGATGGAGGATAAAATGGGTGTCCCATTTTATCATGGGAGAAGGCCACAGCAGATTATATCAAGAACAGGAGAGGAGAAAATGACGATGGCAAAGATGAAAGATGATGGAAATAGGGGTTTCATACATGAGTTATAAAGATAAACAGCATCCAAGTCTAGATCTAAGTTATAATTTACTAAATTTTATTTCTACTTTCCTATTCTGATTAATAACAAGTAGCATACATAATACCAAAACTCTAATTACCATAATAAACAGATGCCAATGTATTTACATAAGAAAACCCCATATAAAAATAAAAATAAATAATAAAATCATTTTCCTTCTATTTATCAATACTTATTTCAACCTCTACTACATCCTGTGATGATTCATCATCCATTCTGTCTGATAGCTGACATTCAACAATTTCTGACAAATATTTTCCAGCTGCTCATTATGCAGGCAAAATCTTAGTAGCCCTTACCCCAACACATAGACAGTAACTGACTTCTCCCACTGACATGTGTTACTCTTCCCCCTCACCCCCAGTGCATATTACAATCCACAGTTTCTAATAAAGATGAGTTGGGTTTCAGAGTGAAATCAATTCATTCAACAATTCTTTTTCCCCCTAAAGTTCCCACTTACCATCCATCCCCATACAATTCTTCCTTCCTTCCTCCCTCCCTTCATATCTTCATCATCATCATGATCATCATGTATATCTATTATTAGTTAAGAATTATCTTGAAGGGAATTTTATAATATATCTATGGCAAATAACTGTTGTAACTAATAACAATAGTTGCTCCATATATAAGTGATACACTTTTCTGAGAGGCCACATATTTAAGACACCTAAGTCATGTAAACTTAATACAAGTTCATAAAATTTCATTTGAGAGATGATAATATAACAATATGCATGCTTTCACAGACATTAAAAAGAACACAGATTGCTAGACAGAACTTCAGTCTAGCTGTAAGACATTTGTTTATGAAACTGTCAGTTAAGACTTCAAAAACATTTTTATATAGCCAGGTGACGATGTTTGCTTCATATGTTTGCTTCATTTCTTGAGAGTGTACAGATGGGAGTAATATTTTGCAAATATTAAATCAGGGGTTCAAGTTTCTATTTCTAATCTGCATGTTCTCCAAGTTATATTCTGAAGAATACTGCCATAGGGAAGAGGGAAGAGGTTAGTGTTAGAAACAAGTCATTGATAAACTTTGGGTTTTATGAATTAACTTTTAGCCTCTGTAACAATACAATTTGGCCATGAAAGACAGGAATTAAAAACCTCTATAGCTCTAGATAAGATATGCTCTGGCAGAGAAGGGGAAGAATAACATGTGTCAGTAGAAGAAATTATTCGCTAATTTCAACATAATGTGCGCTTGCTGGGGCAAGGGTGGGAGCAGGCAAAGGCAGGATTCAAACACTGAGAAGGCATGGGAAGGTTGACAACACCTGGGGCAGGTGTGTGTGCGGTGGTGGGTAGTGTGTGAACATCTGGAATAAACTGTCACTAACTGGTTGAGTTATTTTACCCATCCAACCCAATGACAAATCCAGGAAAAACATTTGGATTAAGCTTCAAGCAGCAGAGTTTTATATATTAGCCAAAGGATGGTGAAGGGGGATCAGAGGCTAAAGCATCTGTGTCAGCAAGATTTCAGAGTAAACAGGCAAGGCTTGGTAGGAACTACATTAATACCCTTTTTTTCCCTACAAGTTGTGTTATAACCAGATTGCTCATGGTGCTGGTGGGCATATCTTTTTTTTTTTTTTAAAGACTTATTTATTTATGCTTACAGAACTGGGGTACAGGACAGAGATGTAGTGGGTAAGAGGATTCACCAGAGAGACAGAGTATGGAGCAGAACAGGCAGATGGACTGAAATACACTGCTGAGGAGCAGTGGTCAGGTCAGGAGCAGTCTGCCACTCCATGTGGGTCAGGTTCCTGGCCCTGGATCCAACTTGTACTGCAGTGGCTCCTGAGAGCTTCATAGTGGGTTGCTTTAATCGGCTGCACCACCAGGGCGAGTCTTTTTTTTTTTTTTTTT